CTGGTTAGGCCTCAATTGGAGCATTGTGTCCAGTTCTGGGCACCACATTTCAAGAAAGATGTGGAAAAATTGGAGAGGGTCCAGAGAAGAGCAACGAGAATGATTAAAGGTCTAGAGAACATGAACTATGAGGGAAGGCTGAAGGAATCGGGTTTGTTAAGTTTAGAAAAGAGAAGATTGAGGGGGGACATGATAGCAGTTTTCAGGTATCTAAAAGGGTGTCACAAGGAGGATGGAGAAAACTTGTTCTTCCTGGCCTCTGAGGATAGAACAAGAAGCAATGGGCTTAAACTGCAGCAAGGGAGGTTTAGGTTGGACATTAGGAAAAAGTTCCTAACTGTCAGGGCAGTCAAACACTGGAATAAATTGCCCAGGGAGGTTGTGGAATCTCCATCTCTGGAGATATTTAAGAGTAGGTTAGATAAATGTCTATCAGGGATGGTCTAGACAGTATGTGATCCTGCCATGAGGGCAGGGGACTGGACTCAATGACCTCTCGAGGTCCCTTCCAGTCCTAGTATTCTATGATTCTGCGACTGTCTGTGCTCCCGTAAGGAGGGTTCTGTCGTGTTTCCAGCCCAGAAAGGAGCAGGAAGTGGCTCTCTGCGTTTACTGGAAATTTGAGGCCGGCAAAGGGAGCTGGTCTCCAGATGGCTGCACCACCCTGCACGTGAACAGCACCCACACGACCTGCAGCTGCGACCATCTCTCCAGCTTCGCCATCCTAATGGCTCCCACTGCAGTGACGGTATCTCCCCTTGAGACTCGGCTCCCAGGCTGGACCCTGATATCTGCACTCAGCCTGATCTTGACAAAGCTGCCATGAGAGAGACGGAGGCTTTACTGGGGAAAAGGCTGAGTGGGACCCGAGGGCTGGGCTGGCTAATGGGGATTCTCCTTTGCTGTGTTACAGGAGAGTCGCCCACTGAACATCCTCATCTATGTGGGCCTGAGCCTCTCCCTGCTGTGCCTCCTCCTCACCATCCTCACCTTCCTCCTGTGCCGCTCCATCTGGAACGTCAGCACCGCCCTCCACCTGCAGCTCTGCCTCTGCCTCTTCCTGGCCGACCTGCTCGTCCTCAGCAGCCAGTGGGTACGGCCCCATTCCCCCCCGATTGGCCCCTCCTCTCGTAGCAGGGCTGGGGTGTGTGGCTGTGAACCCCAGGGGCTCCCTGGGTTCTTCAAGAGGTGTCCCTGGTGGTGCTCCACATTACATGATGAGCGTTCCAGTGCCTCTTGATGGCGTTTTCTCTAGCAGTGCTTTGGGAGCTTACATGTGCCGTGCGCAGCACGTGTGGGCCTCCCCAGTGCCGTCATGCATGCGTGGCCCCCCCTCCCTTCAGTTCTTTTCTACTGTCCCTGGACACCAGACGGAACTCGGCAGTGCTCTCCTTTCTCTTCAACGTAGTTATAGAATTTCTCTTCTAGTTTAGTTAGTTGTAAGTTCTAGTTCACTTGCTCAGTGTTGCTTTAGTGTTTTAGTGTTAAAAAAAACAAATGTGGATTGGATAGTGTGTTACTTCATAGCCACGGCATGGGATCTCCTGGTTTCAAGCGCTGTACCCTCTGCAATGAGACAATGCCAGCCTCTGATGGACACAAAAACTGTGTCAAGTACATTGGCAACTCATGTTCTTCTTCGAGGATGTCCCCGCGAGAGCTCCACTGTTGATCCTGGGCTTGCCCCGGTACCACAGAACAGAGACTTTTCTAGAAGCAGTGCTGGACCGGACCGCGCATGCGCCATGGTGGCTCACGGAGTTTACCCTCTTTTCTCTGAGTGTGCGGTCTAGCCCCCGCCTGTTCCTCTTGACCACCTCAGGCTGCAGACTGACGGAACTGCTCTCTCCACACAGACTCCTTGTTGTGAGATTAAGACTACACAAATAGAACAGAGTTAGTCGTTTTTACCTCTCCCATATCCCGTTTCATTCATATATAAAAAGAAGTAGTTGTTAAATTTTAGTCGCTATAGTAGGTTTTCATTTCCCCTTCCCCCTGTTTGTTCAATGTTCATATTGTACATAGTTAAGTACCCTCAGATAAAACGGGGAAAAACAGAAGGAAACGAAACAGAACAACTTTAAAAAGAAAAGCACAAGGCATTTAAAGATGCCATCCTCACCAGGCTTTAAAAAGTGTGACAAGTGCTGGGAGGTGATGCCGGCTTCAGACAGCCACTCCTATTGCATACGATGCTTAGGAGAATCTCATGTCCCCCAAAAGTGCCCTCATTGTACTCAGCTAACATCTAGGGCAAGGAAGGACAGAGAGAGACGCCTGTGGTTGTTTCTTTTTGACAAGGCTTTACAACCTCAGAGCCCTGCCTCCGCTCCTCAGCAGCAGACTTCTAAGCGGAGAGCCTCATCCCCCACCACGGCTGTGACCAAACGATCGAGACCCTCACTACTTTCTAATTCAGAAAAAAATCGGGAGGCTGGCAGCTGATATTGGACCTCCACTGTTTGAACAGATTCCTACGAAAGCAAAAATTCAGGATGATCACACTAGCTACCATAATTCCCGCACTAGAGTGAGACGACTGGTTTGTGGCCCTCGACCTCCAAGACACCCACTTTCATGTTTCCATCCACCTAGCCCACAGAAGGTTCCTACGATTTGTTCTCAGCAAAGACCACTACCAATACAAAGTCCTCCCCTTTGGTATCTCCTCCGCTCCCACGGTATTCTCAAAAATCCTGGTGGTGGTTGCGGCCCATCTTCGAACGCAAGGGGTGATTATCTTCCTGTATTTGGACGATTGCCTCCTCAAAGGTCGTACAGCATCCGAACTTTGAAACGTGATCCTGGCCACCAAACAACTCTTCCACGCCTGTCAGCCGACGGTCAGGGCAGTGTGTGTGTATGTTTCCGAGAAAAGGTTTAACGTCCGTGTCTTTACTGCTAGGACCGGGGTCCCATCGCAGAGGGTGGCCAACAGGCCAACAGACGCCCCGTTATATAGGAAGAGCTTATTACACCTTAGATTTTAGCTGCTAGAACACAGGGGTTCCTTCGCAGAGGGCAGCCTAGGAAAGGCTGAAAAGGTGCCCCAACGGATCTTGTCACCTGGGAGTGACACAGATCCAAACGCCCAAGCTCTCCCTATGTCTGTCCCTTTATGACCGGCTGAAGTTCTTTTAAATTGTGCTTGGTTCTATTACAGCAACTGAAGGAGTCAGGTTAAAGCTTAAACAGTTACAGGTTTATTTGAGGAAGCTTATAAATCATATGGTTGCAATGGCTATTGTTCTATTTCTTAACTGCTAGCAAAATATAGATCTTAAAAATGGTTACAAAGAAGATAAAGATAGAAAAATAGAAATAATGGTACCAAGTAACAGCTTACTCTTTCTATGTGTACACTTAAGACAGAGGACCACATCCAGGTACAATTTTTACCCCCTTCTGTGCCTCTTGACTCCAGCATGTCAGGCCAGGGCCGGTCCCTCAATTCCTAGGAAAGACGAAAATACGAGGTGGGCGTCCCCATAGAACCTCGGGAGGTCAAACACCTAACCCGACCAGCAGGTAGAGGGTAGAATGACACTCAAAAGAGAGTGTCCTGCTGTACATCTTTTATACTCATGGGGTCACGTATTTCTCTTTCTTGTCTGTCATGCCAAATGGGGCTGGTCTGTCTTTTGTGAGACCAGTTCTTACAAGGGAGTTGTGAACTTAATTTACACTTGTAAGAGAGATAACTAAATTGGAATTACTGGACATTGTTTTCTCAGTGGGAAATTCCTCTTCCAGGGACTGTGTGTGTGTTCGAATCAACATAGGTGCCAGCCGGTGGCAGTTCTCGCATATCCTGATCTCTCCTCATATCTATGTTTCAGCTTCTCAGGATCAGATGAGCCAGCATAGACTATGCTGATTTTATTGCTCCTTCTCTGTCCTGTATGCTTCAGGAAGGCAAATAAGATAGATGATATGGGGGTTAGTCTGTCTGGCTACAACGTCCTAGGACTCCTCATAAACGTACAAAAGTCCACTTTGCACCTGACCCAGGATCTGGAATTTATAGGAGCTCACCTGGAGTCAACTACAGCCAGGGCCTATCTACCGCTGCAAAGATTCCACACCATTCAAGATCTCATACAGGTCATCAGAGACAGCCTACAGCCCAGGTCATTACCTGCCTGAGCCTCATGGGCCATATGGCTGCCACAACTTATGTGGTGCGCTATGCCAGACTGCACTTCCATGCTCTCCAGTACTGGCTCACACAAGCATACAATCACAGCAGACATGACCTCCACAAGATGGAGTGATACTAAGATTCCACCCTAAATTCATTCCCAAGATAGCATCCGCCTTTCACGTCAACAAGCCGATAATCCTGCAGGTGTTCTACCCGAAACCTCATTTCTCCTCAAGGGAAGTGACCCTTCACTCACTCGATGTACGAAAAGCCCTAGCTTTCTACATTGACCAGACAAGACCCTTTAGACAAACTGATCATTTGATTGTATCTCTGGCTGACAACCCTTATCTGCTCAGCAGATTTCAAAACTAATATTCAATTGCATAAAAGAGTCCTACGCAACGAAGCATATATCACTCCCTATCCAACCTTGGGCCCACTCCACCAGGTCCATGGTGGTGTCAATGGCTTTCCTTAAAGGGGTTTCCTTGAAAGACATATGTAGAGCGGCCACCTGGTCCTCACACGATATCTTTGTCGAACACTATGCCTTACTCCAGAGTAGGCAATCCGATGAGGTACTGGCGACGGTGGTGCTCTCCAAAGTGGACAAATAGGGACTCCTTTGTTTATACCGCCTTCCGTTGTGGCGACTACTGCTACTCAGTCACCAAGAGTGGAGTACCCGCGAGGACGTCCTCGAAGAAGAAAGAGAAGTTACTCACGTTGGTGCAGTAACTATTGTTCTCTGAGATGGTGTCCCCGCGGGTGCTCCACTGCCCGCCCTCCTCCCCACTTCGGTGTCTGCTTTCTGTTTGTGTCTTGCAGACTTCGAGGCGGCCTTGAGGAACTGGCGGGGGCCGGACCGCGCACTCAGAGAAAAGAGTTTGAACGCTGCGAGCCACCGCAGCGAATGCATGATCCGGCCGAGCACTGCTTCTAGAAAAATCTCCGTTCTGCGGCACTGGGGCAAGCCCAGGATCAACAGTGGAGCACCCGCGGGGACACCATCTCGAAGAACGATAGTTACTGCACCAAGGTGAGTAACTTCGCTTTCCCAAAAAGACTGCCCACACTGCGCTAAGCTCAAAGCGCAGGCACATAAAGATAGAGAGCTCAGGCTCAAAATGCTAAAGGTGATAAAGGTGGACACCCTCCTTCTGACCCAGACTCAGGTCATGTTACCACGGCAAAAAGGGATAAAGCCCCTGAAGCCATGAAAAGATGGGCAAGCTCGCTGCCTCAGCACTCTTCTAAGAGGCACCCTGCTGACAGGCAGTTGGATCCCTCTGATAGGAGCCTCAGCACTTTTGACCGCCCAGGTGTCTGGGGCGAACAGCGCTGTAAAAGCAAAAGCGCTAACACAGCTGCCCCCTCAGAGGCAACAGGCCACACCCGGATAAAGCCCCTGAAGCCATGAAAAGATGGGCAAGCTCGCTGCCTCAGCACTCTTCTAAGAGGCACCCTGCTGACAGGCAGTTGGATCCCTCTGATAGGAGCCTCAGCACTTTTGACCGCCCAGGTGTCTGGGGCGAACAGCGCTGTAAAAGCAAAAGCGCTAACACAGCTGCCCCCTCAGAGGCAACAGGCCACACCCGTGCCTGCCTCGAACAACACACCACCAGCTCAGCCAAAACCTCAGGACTGCAGCAGGGCACCGCAGCCGCTCACAGGACTCACGGGGCAGCCACTGGGCACCGCCTCCCCCCCCCTGTGTTGTCGGGGCAACGCCTCAGGCGGTGAGCTCTGCTCTCTGGGCACCACAGTCAGTACACTCTGTGGCAGACAGCTCCCACATTCTCCGGTCAGGAGCTACAGGGTGATTAAAGATTTAACAATTTCTCCTACGCTCCAATCTCCTATTCTGAGTGACAACAGATCTCCTCCCTCCCCCTTCTCTGAGTATTCACAGTCACATTCCCCTCTCTCAATGGAAGAGGCGGGGAGGTGGCTGTGTTTTCACCACAGCTATCTCCACACTCACAGGGGTCAGGAA